AACGAAGACACATTTCTTCTGCATTCCGAACAGCTCATCACTGTGTGCTTGTTTCTGATAAAATTTTCCGATACAGAATCATTTGATGTTGATGTACGATAATAATCGTCTTTAAATTTAAGAATGGTATCATGTTTAAAACGCATTTCTCTGTATTCATGGTAAACATGATGCCAAGTAAAAAGCAGGTAAGTTGTTGCAGCTACGTTTGCCGATGTTATAATGTACGTGATTTTTCTTGACTGTAGCATTCTTAAATTATGATAGAATGAAACAAAGTTAACAAAATTATAAAGTTAACAATAACTTTTTTTTTAAAAATAATAGGTTATTTCTATTTTGTTGTTAATATAATTAACTTGAAATTTTTCGTATTCGTTATTTAGTTCTAAACAGCTTTGCTTTGCATACGCTTAACTTTGACCCGGTAACTTTAATTATATAGCTTAACGTAGACATTTTGTTTTGCAATTTGCATAATAATGTGTCAAAAATGTATGATTTTTCAAGCACTCTTGTCGACTCTCACGAGTGAACTTTACAGATGTGTTTTGCCCTGATACTTTCCATAGAGATTTCAGTCCAGTGATTGTATTATGTCGTTAGCTGTTAATGTTTGTTTTGAGCACACTGCTACAGAGCCATAGATTGTAACTAAAAACAAAACTAAGTGCATTTGATTTACGAGGAAAATCGCTCGAAATATACTTAACTTTCTCTGCTTGTCACAAAAATGGTTATGCCGAAGAGCCTATAACATGAAGTCTTTAAAAGAACCAATTGTATGTTGTTTGAGTTACTACGATCCCAATTCTATAAGTAGATTAAATAATTGCCAATTTGTTACAGTATTTTAATAACAACCTTTTTTGTTCTTAATTTTAGTGTTGGAAGGGATCTTCTCTATAACACAAATGTATACGTGTCAACTGGTTATTCGCCATTGAGGCCATTGACTCCGATTTCAGCCTGCTTTTGTTTTTGGATTTGCTTCCATAGCCTTTGTCCAACGTAGAACAAACTACAAGGCAGCAGTTGTTAGATTTTGGAGTTGTCTCTCCTAGAAGAGTGGCTGTCTCAGCTAACAAGCCTCATATGCCCAAGGGTTCGAACTCGAGATTTTCGGTAAGCAACCATGACCTTTACTGGCTCGACCACCTTAGATATCAATCTAGAATTGTTGCAAGGTTTATGTTCTTAGCTTTAATCAAAAATATAATTTTTGCATAAAGTTGTATGTTTTTTAAAAGCGATACTGTAAAGGAAATAACCTTCCCATAGAATGACTAAAAATATTATCGGTTATCTCCATTGCTAGTTGAACTCTCGCTTTGGCATATACCTTTTCCAAAAAAAAACAAAAAAAAACAATTACCCGTTTTTCTACAACTGATGTCCTCTTGTATTTTAAAGGGTTTTTTATAGTAAAAAATAGTAGTTTTTTTCGATTTCGACTTATGTTGTATATGATTAGATTTGTGGATTTAAATATTATGCATAACTGGCCGCTCACGTGAGTCTATTATAAACGAAGAGACTGAAATATTATTATTGGACACATATTTTCTAGCGTAGAGATGAAGTAGGAAACATAATTAAAAGCAATGGGTTCAGCTTTTATGCTTTGAATATATATTTTTTTTCAACAATCTCTCATTTAAAATCATTAAATTAAACGTCCTATACATCGTTAGGATCAATGGAATTAGATATAGACTAGGAGATGTGTTTTGAAACAATGCCGAGATTAAAAGACGTGTTCCTTTATGACCATATCTATTCTTTCATGTATTTGTCTAGATATTTACTTGGAAACAATAAACATGTCGTTTGTTCAATGTTCGAGGAATTAAGTAGCTTTAGTTTTGTCTTTTCTTCTCCACATAAAGATGTATGTGCCTTCCTAGAGCTATAAGAAAACAGTTTGGTCCTATTAGAAGATGAACTGGTGGGTTCTCAAAAAGATGCGCAACAGAAAAAAGCGCACAAAGAAAAAAGCGCAAACAAAAAAGAGAACACAGAAAAAAGCGCAAAAATGATCAACCAGAAAAAAGCGCAAACACAAAAATCGTACACAGAAAAAAAGCGCAAAAAGATAACTGCACAACCAGAAAAAAGCGCAAACGGTAAAAAGTGCACACAAAAAAGCGCACACACACAAAAGTGCAAACATCTTTTTCGTGCTTTTTTCTGTTGCCCTTTTTTCCGTTACGCACCTTTCTGGTCAACGAACTTGAGTCCTGACTTCAACCTTAATCCGCAAATTTTCAAGATTTTAATGCTAAAATTGAATCACTGTAGACAAATGCACTAATAGGTTCCCAGAATTTTGGTTTTTAGTATTACATAAATGCAATAAAAGAATGCATTCGATACATTAAAGGAAATGCTAATATCACATATACTGATTTTTTTTTTAAACTAAAGACTCTTGTTAAACTAATGATCTTTGTTAAACTTACTGACATTTGTCATAACTACTGATTGTTTCACAAAATAACATTTCTTTATAGCTACTAATTGCTCAAAATTCTGACTTAAATAAAAATAATTATTTTGTAAATCAAAACTTACCTTGTGTTAAAATGACTAGCTTTCATAAAACAGTGTTTCTGAACAAACGGCAAAAGCAAATTCACTTTGTATGTACACAGTTACACCTTGTATTGCGTGTGTAAATCATTACAGAGCTTTTAATGTCAGTTTAATCATGAAATTACTTCTGTCCTCTATAGCAAACCAATTGCATTTCTTCGATACATTCACCATAAACCCGATAAGCTTAATTCGTTTGTACTGAAGACTTAGCTCATTTTATTACAAATTAATTTTAGTTAGGCCTATTGATTGAAATCTAACCGGAAGCTGATTTAAGCTGTGTGATTCCTGTTCGATTGGAGATTTAACTAAGATGTTATGCAATGTGTTGTTAAGGTAAGACAAAGCAGCAGGCTAAAGGGGGAGGGGGAAGTGGGTGGGGTTGTGCTTTAATTGCCTTGTTGTTGATGTATAATTAATATAATGGAGTTGGTCGTGTCGAACACAGACACAACACAACACACTCTCTTGACTACACGAAAAAGGTTATCAATACGAAAAAAAAAATTAAGTGCGATATTAGATAGAATTGCTATTTAGATCATACCGGTAACGGATTTTTCATTTTGATAAATTTATTTACAAGAGCTAAATAGTTACCGACATTATTAAAGTTAAACAATTACCACTATTGATAATGTAACCAATGTCAGAGTTTTGTTTAGAGATGGTGCGGTCAGTAAAATGTCCAGCAACCATTACTGTATGTGTCTGAAAGTCTAAGGCGTACCCACAAAATGTATAAGCAAATCGCATAAGATATTCGGTTGATTACAAAAAAATTATATGCACAGGTTTAGTTTTTATTAACGAAATTGTATACTAACCAATGAAAACTACTAATCGCATTACATTAAAACAGCCCCTGTTATTGTTCTTAAACGTGTTCATAATAAAGTATATATATTTTGGTAAATATATATCTAGGTAATATAGTAATTGTTTTAAGTCTTCCGGTTGTATGAATATTACTACTACATCAGATGTCGGAGATTAGCTATGAATTACAAAATTGATCGTCATTAAACTGATATTAAATGTTATTGATTTAAAACGAGAACATGAGTTATTTGTGTTGAGTTGATGTGTAGTAATGGATAACTGTTTATTCAGTGAGTGTGAATATAATAGAGCTATAGCGATACGAAAAAGGAGATCTGTTCAGAAACTACAACTTGAGAGAGAGAAAGAGAGAGAGAAAGAGAGAGAGAGAGAGAGAGAGAGAGAGAGAGAGAGAGAAGAAGAAGAAGAAGAGAAGGGTAGTGAGAGTTTTGAAACAAATGTAAATTAATTACTGATATTATAATAAGATTTGGAAATATACTGTCACAAATAGACCTAACAATACAAGAGAACATCAGTTGTTTTTTTTTTTAAAAATGAGCAAATGTTCGGAAAAAGTAAATGCCCTAGTGCTAAATGTGCAAGGGAGATAACCAGTAATGTTGTTAATGCTTGTATGGAAGGTTATTGCCCCTAACTTATCGTAAACAAAAATAAACAATTTAAACCAAAATTATATTTTTCAAATTGTAGTTTGACATAAAATGTCATTAAAAACTTAATTAAATTATTACAACTATAGTCGGCGACGTAGTGTTCACATGTACTAAAAAGTCCCGTGTTCGACACCCGGGCAGATGTACCTCAACACCAAAGGTCATTCACCCTTCTATGAAATAAAACTCTAACTTAACACCCTAATTAACAATTGCTGCGTCTTCATTTTTTTCATAAATGGAGAAAGACTATGCAAGCAAATCTAGAAAAAAAAAACGAATGTAAATTTGGAGTCAACGGCCAATGTGGCATATAACGTAATATAAAGGGGAGTTGGAGAAAATCCGGTATAACATACACAATTAAGAAAGAAGAAGAAGCATTGTCTACCGTTTAGCTTTTTTGATTCATGGATTTATGGCTACGGGAGCAGGCTCAGAAAGAAAAGCAGGCTGAAAACAGTTAAGAAGTGAAAAAAAATTGGCTGTACAAATAAATATTTTTGTAAAATCGTCATGTTCTACGAAATTTATGTAAAAAAAAACAGCTTTGTGGAAAAAAATTTAATTTAAATTCGTGTGTAAACACAATGCAATTAAAAAAAAACCATTGACGTTTTTTTATTGTACTGACCTATTGTAATGACGTATTAAGATAACATTGTATAAATATATTATTATGAAATAGTATTAAAAAATTTTAGTTTATTTCTTGTGGGAGATCTTTAGAAACTTTTCTGGCTTACACAGTATCATAACGATATAATTTTAGACTTACCCCCCCCCCCCCCCTTAACAATTAGGTTACTATTTAAAACAAATTATGAGCACGTAATCTAGCTGCGAAAATTCATTTATTGTTTGAAAAAATCTCAGAATAAAACAAGGAAACATGATTTAAAACTCAGCAATTTTTCTTAGAGGTTAGTCTAGTTTTTCTCCTCCAACAAATGAGATCTCCCCGCCTTCTGTATAGCGTCCATTACTCTCCTTAACAACAAAGCGTCAATACTGGTTTTGTTCTTTACAGCAGAAAACGATGTAAACATTGGGGGTTCCCTCAGGTGAATGAAATGGAAAGCTGAAAGAAAACTAATTGTCTTAGACATTCGGTAAGTTTTACCATTAAAAAAAAACAACCCTTCACATATTCAAAATTAGTGGAAGTAAGCCTAGAGATAATTTTTTTAAAGACTGGATATTGCCAAATTATAAGAAATATTTTTGAGATAATTTATTTGAGATATCAACGTATTAGTGAATATTTAAGAGGTACTTCTGTCTTTTAGTCGGTGATGTTTGGTTGTGTATATGTACAATGCTTGCAGTGAATTTACTTTTAATTAACAATCACAAGAACGCTCAATTAATGGATAAGTATACATGTTAAAATACAAAAGAAAATTAACTACCGTTTGTTTCTTCAATGTTAAATCTGGATGTAGGTCTAGGATCCTGGAAGCGCCTGCGGTAGTTGTCGTGCCAGGTTGGGTGGCAGATTCTGTGGTAGCAAATGACCTGAAGTGAAAATAAGAATTTCATCTTATGTATAAAAATTATCTTAGAATTAGAATGTAGGTTTTTGTTAAGTGTTGGATGTACCATACTTACTATTAACACTATATATATATATATATATATATATATATATATATATATATATATATATATATATATATATATATGTGTATATTATTATATAACACTTTACATAACTGCGTGGACGGTCAATTATGGAAAGTATATTAACTTTAATATATTTGTTAGTTGTACATTCTATTACATATTATCAAACATATCTTCAATTTCCATCATTGAGAGCCTAGGCTATTATTTCTAATCAAATTAGCAGATAGCTTAGGAAGATCTTACCAAACTCTATTTTTTAAAGTTTTAATGCATTTTTCATTCGCTATTGTGTGTGATTTGTAAATATAATGAAAACAAAAATCCTTAAAATTTTTATTTTTTATGTGAAACAAAATTATTCGACTTTTAGACATTTGTTATACTAAGATTTAAAATATTGACGTTAAACTTCGTCCTGTAGCTTGTGATCTCTAAAAATAAGTGGCCCTCCCAAAATATCAAATTTTTCGACGAAATCATTTGACCGTAAACGAAACAGAATTTAGCCTCGACATTCTACTGATCATACGATTGCTAGTAATGTTTAAACTTATCTCCATCTCTATTAATTGGTAATTTTATACGATATTCAACGAACATTTATTGACATTCAAGATCTAGCACTTTGCCAAATTTTAGCTCAATCGGAAGGAAATCTTGAAGTGAGTTAAAAAAATTAAGATTCCAAGATTTAATGAATCTACTATTGAATATATAGTAATTTTTACATATAAAATTAAACTTCAAACGGCTAATCAAAGATTTACTTTCAGTTATTTAATTATAAGTTTGCTGAATTCATATTTGTTAACCTTATCTCATAATTTCAATTAAACTGCACTATTTTAATTTATCTTCTGAATAAACTATGAAGAGATGATAATAATATATTTGACCAAGTGCAGGTGACAAAGTGCAGTAGCAGCATGTGCGGCCTTCTTTGTTAGGTCTTTTGCGACCCCTTCCACGCGACACCCAAATACGACAGAGGCGTGTACAACCACCTGTCTGTAGGTATTTGCCACTGGCTTAGGAAATCCCGCCTCTAGGCGAAGGACACTTTATTTGGTACCGATACACCCACCTGATATAAAGAAAATTTTCAACACTTTATTCCTTCTTGAATAATCAGAGTTCAGATAATAACGTGTATCTCAACAGACCACCACTACCACAGGTCCATACACTATATCACTCCGTCTCTGCATCTACAAACACTTGTCTCTGTATTCAATCAATTTCTGTATCTCTCTTCATTCCAGCGCCCGATCGTTCCATCTTCGTTACTTAACTAACATTTTCTGTCTATCACATTTTTGTCTTGCTCTCACTACCCAAAAGTATCGCCGCTTAAATACACATCCAGACACACCCAGCTGTACATCCGGTGTTGTCAATAATGTCAATTAATTTTAAACTATTCTATTTCGGTGCCACCTATTGCATACTCTCTATTAATAGCTTGTCTTAAAGTTTACAAGTCAAATTATTTTTAGTAACACCAGCTACGTCACAACAGTTTCATAATAACTATAAATAACTCAGTTCAGTTCTGGCCTTGACCTTGTCCTTGTAAACAACCAAATACGTTGTTTGTAACTACACTAGTTAAATATACAAATAAAAAAAAGTTTAAGATTTCAATCGCGATAAAAAAACGAAATTGATCGAAATTAAGTCATAAAATCTATTTTTCAAAACAATATAAATTGTCACAAATAATTGAATTACAATGAATAACTTTAACTTACTAGTTAAAAAAATAGAATAATAATGATTCTACGACAGTTAATAAACAGCCAAATCAATCTCCGATATGATAGGAATACTTTTAAGAAAATAATTTATAGTTCAGTTGTAAAAATATTATAATAGTTTAGGTTATTACAAAATAAAATGGAAAATACATTCCATTTTGAAGGGAGTTCATTGACATGTGTAAGTTCTATAACAAAAAATATCAGCAATGCTAAAATTCTATAACTGAATGACCAGGCTTTTATTATCAGTCATATCAGCTTATTACTTTAGTAAGGTCACATCTGCTAAATTTATTTTCTACTTTTTAGTGCATTTTTTCTTTGGGGTCGTCCATAAATGACGTCACACTCTTAGGGGGGAAGGAGGGTCCGTAATTTTGTGACGGTGTGTGATGAGGGGGAGTACGACGTCACAGTTTTGCATTATAAAAGAGCAATGCTAGAAATCGAATTTTAGACGTTATTTCGCGCTTTAGAAAACTGTTTTAATAAATTGTAATATGAATTGATTAAAATGCTCTATTTTGATACGGTTCAGACAAGGTTTTGGAAAAAATATCGATGTTATACAAAAAAAATTCTACTGCAATTTTGAGGGCGGGGGGGGGGGGGCTGTAGGCTGAGGTGTGACGTCATGTTAGGGGGGTCTGGCTTTTTGTGACGATGTGTGATGGAGGGGAGGGGGAGGGGGGGGGGTAAAAATCGTAAAAAAAAAACGTGACGTCATTTATGGATGACCCCTTTCGTTAGTGATTTTTAAAATTTGTGAATAAAATAAAAGCCATTTAAAAAAAAATATTAGCTAATTTTTTTGGCAGATTAATAAAATGATGAGGTGTGACAATTCAACAAAAGTATAGAGAGAATAATCCAAAGTATATCAGCCGATTCGATGGGATTCGTGATTTAATTTTTTTTTAGAGTGATTAGACCTATTTTATCCCAAAGTATCAACTTGTAAAACAGCTACCGTTTAGATTTTACCTGTAGCTTTGGGTCAATGTAGGCCATTTCCGGGTTCCTCTCATAAAGCTTGTAAAACATCAGCACTGAGTTCAAGGCCCACCTGTCGTCACGGTAGTACCTGTACAAAAAGTCATTGCAATAAACACGGAATATCTAAATTGGGATCAGTGTTTCTTCCAGACTTTTTCTCCGGGAGGGGGGGGGGGGCGGTCAACATTTTCCGGGGGGGGGGGGGCGGACCCTAGTAAAAGTATATGTTTGCTATATAAATTCCATCTCGTTCGGGGGGCGGTAGACTTTCTTCGGGGGGGGGGGGGAGCCCCCCCCCTTCCCCTAAGAGATGCCTGGAATAATCTCTGATTGGGATTGCGTAATACTTTATAATATTTCCATAAGAAAATGTTTTTAAGACACATTTATCAAGCTAAACCAAGGCGTTTTCATTAATACTGAATCAAGTGTAACTAAGACTTAAATAAAGTGAGAGTGATTTCCCCTAAAATATCTCTAATTTCCTTAGATATCGGGATATTACATTCTTTGTGGCTTTTTTTTTTACTTTCTCGTATATACGAAGTATAGAGAAAGTCTTGTAATCGTGCAAAAAAAAAAATCGAGATTTTTACAAATCTTGACGTTTTACACCTCACTGATACGGAAAAGCATAATTTTGCAATCTTGTCCGTATATCTGTGTGTCTGTCTGTGTGTGTCTGTCTGTCTGTGTGTAAACACGATAACTTGAGTACCGTTACAGCTAGGTTGATGAAATTTCATATATAAGTATTTTATCAAAATCGTAGATCCGTATCAACTTTTGAGCGATTTCCGATAACCGGAAGTGGTACTTTTTCTACTTTGAATTTTTCAAAAGCCTATAACTTGAGTACTATTTCAGATAGATAAATGAAATTTCAAAAGTAAGTACAAGATCTACTTTTCTACCTTCTGTCAAATTTTAAGTTATTTCCGTTGAACGGAAGTACCAATTTACGTTATTTCCCATTTCTCAAGAAAAAAAAACGCATGTAAATTTATAAAGTACTAATAATAATGCGCACTACTATGCACATTTTGTTTTGGCGTTCGCTTGGTGCGCGATTCTTTTTTCTATGAGATTCTATTCTATTTTTAAAAGTTTATGTAATTAAAAATCATGTCTATATTCCAAGTTATATAAGAATATTCGAGAAAGTTTTGTGGAGATCACTCCCGGTTTATTTTTAATCAATTTTTAAATACTTGAATATTAAACAATAAAATAGCGTAAAAAATTGCGCACAAAATGAACACCAAACATTGTGTGTAAAAGTAGTGAACATTTAGTACTTAATAAAGTAAAACTTGATTATCTTTCAAAAGTTAATTAATCATGTAATTTAGTAGCATTTTGTCAGGATACATTGTCTACGAGTCTAGACCTATGTAAAAAGTTTATAAAAATAGGTCTGATAAAGTGTTGGAAATTTTGCTCGCAATTTTGCAACCATGCCGGACGATAGATAGATAAATCATGGTAAAAATAAATATTTAAGCCTTTATTGAGAAATCGGGAATAGCGTAAAATAGTAATATAGTTTTTCCAGTACTAACAATTTGATAGAAAACAGAAACTAGAAAATTAGCTCTTTGAATTATACGTAAAATTTCGTCTACCTATCTTGTAGACTTTTGAGAAACCTAAGTAGTATATTAGGTCCCTTTTGGAGCGAAGGCGCAGGCGCAGGCGCACCCAGGATGCGCAAAGGATATATAGGAAAATACTCGGATGCGCAGGGGGATGCGCAGGCGCAGCCTGGGACAACGAGATATAGTAAAATACTCGGGATGGGGATGGGGAGCCTGGGACAACGAGATATAGTAAAATACTCCAGGCGCAGGCGCAGGCGCAGCAGCCTGGGACAATGAGATATAGTAAAATACTCCGGATGGGGATGCGGATGGGGATGGGGATGGGGATGCGGATGGGGATGGGGAGGATGCGCAGGGATGCGGATGGGGAGTAGGTCAGTAGGTCAGTAGGTCACCGGTGGTGACCTTGTGACGTAATCACCGCAGGTGACCTAGTTACGTAATTTTAATGAGTTTTTTAATTAGTTTTAATGAGTTTTTTAAATTTTAATTAATTTTTGACCTAGTTACGTAATTTTAATGAGTTTTTAATTAGTTTTAATGAGTTTTTTAAATTTTAATTAATTTTTGACCTAGTTACGTAATTTTAATGAGTTTTTAATTAGTTTGATTTTAATTACTTTGTTTATATTGTGTAATTTTTTATTAACGAGTTACGTAATTTGATTTTAATTTTTTTTTTAAATTATTTTTATTTTGTTTTTTTAAATTTTAATTAATTTTAGTTTGATTTAATTGATTTGATTTTAATTTATTAAATTTTAAATTTTTATTGAGTAGTTACGTAATTGGATTTTAATTTTTTAAATTTTTAAATTTTTTTAAATTTTTAAATTTTGTAATTTTAATTATTTGTTAGTTTAATTATTATTAACTTATTTTAATTAGTTTAATTATTATTAACGAGTTACGTAATTGGAGTTTAATTTTTTAAATTTTTAAATTTTTTAAACTATTATTTTTTAATTTTAAATTTTATATTTGTTTATTTGTTTACTTGTTGGTTTGTTTATTTGATTGTATGTATGTTTTATAGTAAACGGAGAGTAATGACGGGGGTTGAGGGGAGGGGTGTGCTAGCATGTACTAGAACAGTCTTTGTATAACATCCATTAACCAGCCGTTCAACACGTGTTACATAGCGATCCGCGATCCTTTGTTCTTGTCAACCACCGTACAAGGGCCAAGTTAATATTGATCGCACCCACTGACCATCAGTATGATGGTCCACCTAATTAAATTTGGTCATGCATCGCGGATTTATGTGGGTTCGCGAAGCGAACACTGCAGGGGTTATGGTAATTAAGGCGAGCCATTAAGCGCGTCTCCACGTTAACTGTGGTAACAGATGTTACGTATCGATTCACCAGCAAAGTTTTTAATATCGGTCACACCCACTGGACCATCAAGGCTTTATTTTAAGTCCACCTCGTGCACGTTTGTTTACATTTTAAAAGACGTGTCGCGTGTCTTCTCTATTTCATTATGGTACCACACTTAGGCTGAGCAAACGGCTAACTATACATACACACACACTTACACACATACACACTAAATTAGAACAAAACTCTTTTTATATTTTATTTGTTTATTAACGTTTTTCCAATTCATCAAAGGCTTTTAAAATTTCATCCTGTAAACTTAATAGGCGCTCAAAGCAGACGCGACTCATACTAACACCAGAATTTGTAGGAAAATTAAGATCGGTTCCATCTATAAGCTCTCTAAGATTTAAAGTGTTTTTGTTCATGAATTGGCTAACAATCGCCAATTTAAATCCGGTGTGATTCAGCGTTCGTATTTCCGTCACTTTATTGTTACTCCTGGCCACAAGTATCCAATCTTCATTAGACATCTTGAAATAATCTAACGAGTTTACTCCCCCTATCGTAAGTACATGTAAAGACGGATGTCCTATAGATCTGTAATGAATTAGGCCTTTTTGACTATGACTTGTTGCCCAGGTGTTGAAATGTTAAGCTTTTTTGAGATACGCACACACACACACACACACACACATACACACATGTACACACACACACACACACACATACACACACACATACACACACGTACACACGTACACACACACACACACACACACATACACACACACATACACACACGTACACACGTACACACACACGTACACACGTACACACACATACACACACACGTACACACGTACACACACACACACACACAAGCACGTGCGCGCGCGAAATTCATACTAGGTCGGTAAAGGCGGAGAGAACTTATAGGTATACATTATCATGGCGACAACAAAAGCGACCCTTATTTTATTTACATGAAAGCGTGTTTTCCAAAAAGTGTCACCAGGCCATTGTCATTTTCGCAGCGGGGTTTATTTTAAGTGTACCCCGTGCACGGTTGTTTACATTTTAAAAGAAGTATCACGTGTCTTCCCCATAGGTCTTCCCTAATAGAGAAACGAGAGGAAAGACAACTGTTCTAAAATTAGAACAGCCTTGTCTACAGACACGAGTATCGTCCCTTGTGAAAAAATTCGCGTCAGAATCCTTAAATAAACAGTCAATTTCTTTAACAAGTTAAAAAATAATTTAGGAAGACAAGGGTTAACAACATTAGACGCCACCGTTTTTGTTTCCTGTGACGACAAGGCACAATACACTTTTTTATTTTATGTCTCAAGTAGAGGGGTGGGAAATTTTTTCTTTGTAAGTGTGTTGTAAACAATGGGTAGAGGAAGCGATTACTAGGTAAGAGCGGAGAGAACGTGACGTACATCGCGATATTTGAAAACATGGCGATGTTTAACCTCAACCAAAAAAGGCAATGAACCTAGAAGAAAGACGAATATATATCTTAGTCTTGCAGCAGATTACCTTCCCATGTTCGCTTTAGTATTACAGTTTTCATCAAACTTCTTTTTGACTTTAACTTCTTTAATTTTTAAGAAAGTTTACTTATACATAATACATTACGTCTAATGACAATTTTTTTATTTTTACCACTCAATGTATTTTGTTTTTCTATATCTTACATTGTCATCTTAATTTTTGATCACCTTAGTAAAAATTTGCTTAAGATTATAAAAGTCAAGTTTTAAAAAACAACAACGTTATAGTACGTCGTGTCAAATGACACACCGTTTAAAATGTCTACATTCAAAGTTCACCAAAATAATGACGTAAAAACTAAATATGATATGACGTTAGCATACATATCATTCAATCTAATCACTCTAAAGTACAAATCAATAATTTTTATTGATTAAGGGGCTGGATGAGTTATTTTTATCACTATTCACCCTTCCCCTTCCCTTTGTCCGCAACCCCTTTCCCCTTCTCCCATCCCTAACCTCAATACTAACCGTACCACTACCCATTCTATTCCATTAAAGAGACAAAGGATGTATGACAATCCCACAGACAAATATTTATTCCACTAATATAACAACTCCTAGACACTAATCCAACAGACTGGGATATGTAACTTGTAGACA